AGATAGAAAAATAAACTGTAGAGAGGGGTATTTTGCTAAATATATGCACCATATAACATATTCATGATAATTTTTACTGTTCTTATGTTTAATTAATGTTTGAATGAATCCATCATTTATGACAGCCACCATTTAAATGTTTATATAAAAAAAAACGAATTGAAGTAGAAATATTATGTAATTGTGACTTTATTGTTTTAAAAACTTAATTAAGTGTAATTTTAGCAGTTGTAGGCTATAACGTTAGCTTACAAATCAGTCAATTTTAATCTTCAATATTATAGTAATGTAGTACAAACTGACTCTCGTGTATATTTTACAGCATTAGTTGAGAGATTTTTTTTTCTTGAGAAAATTTGTCAAGTACTGTACCTGATATATATCCAAAATAATCGATATTGAATTGAATCAAATCGAAAGCTTGTGAATGAGAATCGAATTGTGAAATTTGCCCTAAATGGTTGTAATTCCTAAGCATTTTGTGTTATACTTTTGTTCAGCCCCTTTAATTAAAATGAATGCACAGCTAGCCGTAGATTACATCAATGACAACAGAATTGTTTTGTATTGTTAAAGTTAACAGTTTGTTTGTTTGTTTGTTTGATAAATGTAACGAGACTGAAATATTTAGGCCTACATCTGTAAATAATATAATACATACATATAGTAATATATATACATATAGGCTTTACAAAAAAAAAAACTATACAAATAGTAAACTGCTTAGGTCAACTTCAAGCTGTTATGTTGGTCCATACAAACTGGGACCAAATTGCTTTCACAAATCAAGAGGAAATTGAACCACAAATGAGTACGGTTCACTTTTGGGTCAACTTTGCTTGTTCACATATGAGCTGAACCGCTCTGAGAGTGTTTGGAAGGCTCACACTAACTAGTGTGAAAACACCCTCAGATGGCGGCATGCATCCACTCATTCAAGTTTGTTCTGAGGAGCCCAGACCATGTCTCAACCATTCAGTGGGGTAGTTCAAGGTTGTGGCAGATCAGGGTTCCATACATAATCGAGACATTCCCTTTCAGTCAGTCACGTTCGACATTATGTTGACATACTGACGCATGGGATCCCTATGGAAAGTCCCACAACCGCTGAAATGTGTCATGCGACTTGGGGATACAGGTGTTGGAAAGCTCTCGCATGCCAAGTAACAACTGGCATCCCAAGTCGCAACCTACCCAGCGCTTCGTGAGCCAGATAGTCTTTCATACCGAAAACGGGATTGAAAAAACACTCACCGCAAAGAGGGTCACTGCTGCTGTATTTTGTTTTTTACAACAACAACAAAAAAAGAGTGAACATCATTTTGTTTCTGTTTTTGGTACAGCCATCCTCTGCTTGGAGACAGCCTTTACCTTCTGCTGACCTCCAATGAAAACAAGAGCTGATCGGAGCTCCTAAGCTCCAGGTGCAGTCCAGGGTGTGTTTCCCAAAAGCATTGTTAGCTATGGTCGTATAAGTTCCATTGAACTCTACTGGTAATGACGGAACTTGTGACCATAGTTGCTTTTGGGAAACGCACCCCAGGGCATCTGTGTTGAGGCAAAATTGAGATGTGAAGTATGCATCCTTCAGGTCAATCACTGTAAACCAATCTTGGTGGAACACGTGAAATCAGCCTCTGCATCAACATCCCGAACGGGAGTTTGTACAAGATTCAAGACCCGACTTCATCTCTGTTGGAGGGACAGACTCTATAAAATCTTATATGTAATGGCCTCATTTACTTTCAGGTGAGTTTAATTTAATGGAAAAAATATGCACTGTGAAATATGTGATGTGAAAATATTTGCACTATTGAGAAATTATCAAGTAAGTTCCTATTATAATAGGAAGTGTTTGCTCAACATCACATTTTTTACACAGATGTCTTTACTTTCCAAATAAGTTTAAGAGTTTAAGATTCTTATCTGATTGAATAATCAGAAAACAGACTGTATAAATATGGATCAGCTCATCAGAGGCTACATCTACACCTTTGACTGTGACAGCAAAACCATGTTCTCTCACAGTGTCCTCCTGCTTACCTGTAAGTTTCTTTCATCTGATTGAATTGCAAAGTCAGACGCACAGTGGACACTATTGTATAGTTGCACTTTTAGACATGTGGGTTAAATTTAGGGTTGAGAACAGTTTGAATGACTTTAAGATTAGCATTGCACAGGGATGTTAATCATTTATCTTCTGTTGTTGTCTTACAGTGGTGCTTCTGAACTCCAGATTGCTGATATCTGCAGGTATTTCATTATCCATGAACCACATCAACAATCAGCAGTTAAGCAAAGATTACTTGACTGAATTGTCCAGCTTTAAATTTCATATAGTTGTTGTTTATTTGGGT